AAGTTTAATTAAACCTTTCCTTCATTTTGAATACAGTCATAAACTTACCAAATTTTAAATCAACGTCCTGTGTTTATAATTTTATATATGCAAATAAATAGGGTGATTTATAAATACCATGGAAGGTTTAATAAAGTGGCCAGTTAGTGTATTTAAGTTTAATTAAACCTTTCCTTCATTTTGAATACAGTCATAAACTTAACAAATTTTAAATCAACGTACTGTGTTTATAATTTTATATATGCAAATAAATAGGGTGATTTATAAATACCATGGAAGGTTTAATAAAGTGGCCAGTTAGTGTATTTAAGTTTAATTAAACCTTTCCTTCATTTCGAATACAGTCATAAACTTAACAAATTTCAAATCAACGTACTGTGTTTATATTCAAACTCAAAAGGTGTCTAAGGATCAAACGCCAACTAAGCAAACTGTTAAGCAGTTCAAAAATAAATGGGCAATAGTCCTTCAATACGTACGGAAGAATGATCTTAAGCCCAACGAATTTGTTTGCCTATTCTACTTTAAAGTTAGCTTAACGCAAATATGAGAATGTTGATTTAAATTAACAACAAAGCTTCAATGTACCAACATGATGCCGGTATTTGTAAAAAATATTCTAATATTCTTGAACCGAAAATTTTCCGTTTCAGGTCAGACGTTCATCGCTGCTCCTACTTACCTCCGTAAGTACACGATAATTACGTTTTTTCGTTTTGTGTGTGTGTGTGTGTATTTTACTATAATACAGCACTTGCAGGCTAATGTTTTATATATATATTTTAATATTTTTATCTACTTGCAATAAACAGTTATTAAATTAGATTAACTTGTCATTAAGCTTAAAACAAAATGTATATATACATACATATATATATATATATACTATGAAATGATTTTTTTGAACAATCATTATATAAATCCTACTATATGGCCATTCTGATTCAATACATTATGTTATGCCAATTCTATAAAGTGCATTTCTTAATTCAATTGGACTTATATAAAAGCTGTACTGAGCAATCGAAAATAAACTGAAAGTAACTTCAACTTATAAAGGAGATGAATTCATAAGAAGGTGTTTAGTGGTACTGTAACATGCAATATTGCTTACAGAGTCAAAAACAGATATGTTATATGGTAATGTTAGGTGTGTGTGTTTCAGAACGATAAGTATTAACCTTTATTTATACAGTTAAGTAATATTTTCTATTTATAACAATATTTTTTTCACAAATTAAAAAGTTATTAATGAAATAAGACCTGTTCAACTATATATAAATGTTCTGGCTACAAGATACAAGCATAATATTTTAATTTGGTCATGCCAAACGAACGTAGTTAGTTACTTTATTTGCTTAGAGTCTGTACAGATATCAGTAATATTATCTCTTACTTCAGTGAGCATTGTAATTAAGTTGAGTACAAGGCGCAGAAATGAAAATAAATCACAATTAAAACAACAGCGATTTTTAAACACTTCAAAAATTAGACATTTTTTTGAATGAAAAAAGTTTTTGGAGTTTAATTTTTCCATTTGTTTTAGTTATTTATTTGCATATTTTAATTGGTAAGATCTAGATTGTGAAACAGGTCATATTCGAAATGCTGAAGTTCAAATTTTTGTAGATATAATAATCCTATTTTTAATTTGTACCTCAATATCTAGGTTCCTAAGTAAAGAGTGTGACGTGGAGGTTAAAAAATGTACTCCACAGTTTGCTTATAATATTCACCGGGAGCTGCGGATCATAGTTCAGGCTCCGGTTGCAGGCTTTACTCAGTGTCTGTGGCAATACAAGTGTCGGTAGGTTTTGTTTACGTACTGTATGGTAAAGTATTATGTTGTATGAATGTAGTAAGTGAAAACCAAAACAAATTACTATAGACAAAAATACTAATATAATCTTAAAATAAAGTTAAAGCAAGTCAAAAAATGAAGGAAAGTTCTCCTTTAGTTTCAATATATGAATATACGCTGTATATGTTTGCATGTATGTATGTGTGTATATATATATATATATGTTAGGTTGTTCTTAAAGGTTTTAAAAACACGAGCAGAAGTCCGATTTTTTTTTTCATTTAGAAAAAAATTCATATGCCCCTTTGCTACCCGTTTATTAATTGATCGTTATACAAGAAAGTGTAAAGTGCGAAACATTGGATTTATAAATCGAATTTGTTCAGTCACTTCATTAGGTTTGCGCCATTACCTTTAAGACTTTAAGCGTGCTTAGAGCCCATAACACTAAATATATCTAAAGTATAAGATTCTGGTAATATTCATTTCAACACAAGAAAAATATGACAATAAACTGGAACAATTTAGTGTGAAGGATTACCATCCGTGTGAAGGATTACCCTCCTTCAAACGCAAGTTGTTTGGATACAATTTATGCGAAGAAATATAATTGAGAAACATGTTTGTGAGTGAGTACAACTACTAAAAATGAAACACTATATAAGTTGAATTCAGCGATAAACATGTAAGCGTGATTCTTTTAATCTTGATATTAACTTTATTTATAATGTAAATATTACCAACCTTTAAAAAGCGCGCACTTCCTAGCAACAGAGTAACTATCATGGAGTCCCCCGGTGGGACAGCGGCAAGTTTTTGGACTTACAGCGCTAAAGTCATGGGTTCGATTCCCCTTGGTGGACACAACAGATAGCCCGATATGGCCCTGCTATAAGAAAACACACACACAAGTTAGGTGCTTAATTGCTATGGTGAAGGGTGAAAAATAATTTTTTACTGCACCTCTCTAAGAGAACATAAATAATGAAGAGATTTAATTTCAAGTATTATTTCAAGCATGCGATGCCTAAGCAATCGTTTTGCGTGTGTTATCCATAGTGAAAGAAACTATGTTATTCAAAATTCTATAGAGTCGCAAAAAAGGCATGGAAGAATAAGTTGTAAAGTTTTCAACTTTGAAACTCTTGTTTGAAACTTGTTGTTTTTTTTCTTCTTTAAGTTCTGGAGGCTATGGATCACAAATATGTGGATTAGGCGATACTTGTACCCAAAACAGACAAACTGTTCGTCTACTGTCCTTTAATCTGGAGTCTCAGACCTTCTACTGTGAAGATTTCTATCAATGCTGCGGATGCCCTTGCGGACACTAGAAGTCGACTTTTTTGTTTACTCGATTAAATAGGTTTACCTATTTGCAAGATTAAAAGTTTTACAATAAACATGTTATCAACTATTTCATTGATTTTATTTTATTTTCTAAAATCTCACTTCTAAAAATTCCTCGTTTTAATAATTCAATACTTGAAATCAATTGGTTCTTCGTTTTATGTCGCAATGATCACATCTGTGAATATCCATAATCCTAAAGGCCCGGTGGCCAGGTGTTTAGGGCGTTTGACTCGCAATCTGAGGATTGCGGGTTAGAATCCTCGTCCCACCAAACACGCTCGACCTTTCAGCCATGGGGCGTTATTAAGTGGCATAAAGTAGAAAAGCCAGCCAATAAACGGAATGGTTACCGTCCAATCAGCCTGATCAGTTGTGTTGTCAAAATTCTTGAACAATTAATTAGTAATAGACTATCCACATTCCTGGAGATGGCACAACGGTCTCAGGTTCCGAATGACAGAAATGGAGCTGCCGCGCGGAAGTATTCGCTGGCTTTCAAACTTTTTGGAAAATAGAAAATGCAGAATAAATGTTGAGGGAACCTTCTCTGAGTTATTCACTCCGGAGGAAGTCGTCCTCAAGAAGAGGTAGTTAGCCATTCATCCTGTATGTAAGTAGCATGCCTCTGAAAGATCCAAATTACGGATACTCCTCACAGTTCGCCGATGATGTAGCAATCTGGAAAAGTGCCCCCCCCCCATACCATTTATAGAAGCTACAAATTTACAGCCACAATAAAACAGAATAAGTGAATATTGCCAAAAATACAGAATTAAAATTAACATACCGAAAAAACAACTAGTAGTTTTCGCAAAATTAACAAAACATAAAGAAAACAACCAAAGATATATATGAATGGAACATTCGTTCATACTGTTACATCCGCCAATTTTTTAGGACTAACACATGATTCGAAACTGACATTGATAAATCATTTAAACAGTATCAGAACCAACAACTGGCAACGAACAAACCATGCTAGGAGTCTAACTGGCCAAAATAGTGGAGCAACAACCGACAATATACTAAAAACATACATACGACCCGCAATTGATTAAGCAGCTCCAGCATGGATAAATGTCGCACCAAAACTAGTGCAAAGAAAACTATAAACCATACAAAACTCACTACTCACAAGAGCTTTAAAGTTCCTGGACCAACTTCATGCACAGAAAATTACAAACCATACAAAACTTACTACTCACAAGAGCTTTTAAAGTTTCTAGACCACCTCATACACAGGAAACTACAAACCATACAAAACTCACTACTCACAAGAGCTTTTAAAGTTCCTAGTCCAATTTCATGCACAGAAAATTACAAACCATACAAAACTTACTAACTCACAAGAGCTTTTAAAGTTCCTAGACCACTTCATAGCACAGAAATTACAAACCATACAAACTCACTACTCACAAGAGCTTTTAAAGTTCCTAGACCACCTTCATACACAGGAAACTACAAACCATACAAAACTCACTGCTCACAAGAGCTTTTAAACTTCCTAGACCAACTTCATGCACAAATACTCAAACATAGAAACAGTAACAGATAGACTCCTACATAGTACACTAAATTTCTTCGCGAAAAATTGGAGAAAAATAACTTATTATTAGACAGATACTGCATACACAATGATGATATCCCTAAGCACCAGTGAATATATATATATGTATACCAGGCCACCAAATTACTAGACATCTAACACTGCTTTAGTTACTATGAGAACGTTGTAAGAGTATTAATGTAAATGGTCTCATCCTAACCTAATATGTATGTGGAATGCCATAATACCACTGGAACTGCTTGTGAAGCTTAGAACTATCTGCCAACCAAAGGAAGCGATAGTGTGTTACCATAGTTACCTACATGAACATGGCCCTGAAAGGGGTCAGAGCAAGTGTGCATAATTAGCTCTGATCCTCATGTAGTAAATATAATAACATTACTCAGAAACCAACATGTGCAGGAGGAGGAAGAGATGAAATGCACCTGACCCTCCCATGTCTTCACCGACCAAATCACGACGCAGAGAGAGAGAGAGCCTAAAGCAATGACAATAACGTACAAACGTTCCCACAAATGACTAGTTCTTGTGTTACTAGACTCTGTCAATAATTTAACCTTCTCACGTCTTCAACGACCAAATCCCGACGCAGAGAGAGAGCCTAAAGCAATGACAAGAGCGTACAAACGTTCCCACAAATGACTGGTTCCTGTGTTACTAGACTATGTCAATAATTTAACCTTCTCACGTCTTCAACGACCAAATCCCGACGCAGAGAGAAAGCGCCTAAAGCAATGACAAGAGCGTACAAACGTTCCCACAAATGACTGGTTCCTGTGTTACTAAACTCATAATTCATAATGAACTTATAGATACAAAAAAAAAAGGTGATTCGAGGTCATTCAAATTATATTTCTTTGTTCACAATTAAAAAATAAATATTTTTCAGCGCTAATTTTTTGTTTTTAGGCTATCCTAACTGAATTGTGTGGTTAAAGTTAATCGCATTCGTGGTTTCTAAAAGTGCATTATTAAAAAAAAACTTTTAAAATTCTTCCGAAAATAAATCTAGAAATGTACAATTCCATATGATAGCTTTTTGTTTTTCATTTTTTACTCGAATTGACTCTTTCGAACACCTCGACCGATTCGATTAATTATTAATTTATCCCTCCGGGACACAAGAAATGACACAGTTATCCCTTTTTGTTTCTTTTAACATTGGAAATGTTTAACCAAATTGTATGACACCTAAACAAACTTACTAAAAATTATATGTATTTTCGCTTAAAAAAAATCATATCGTTTGACTTAGGTAACAATATCTTTGGTAAAGAAACTATATAAAATAAATCCCGAACCGATCCTTGGTTTATTCAAAATTTCCTATGAGAGTCATTTATTCCTCCTGGCAGTAATTCCGTTTTGTCAATTTACCAAAAAAAAAAAAACATAAACAGGGTTGCTAGTAAAAACTTAAATTGTACAGAATTTTGTTTTTATTTTTGAAAAATGTACCCATTTTCTAACTGCATAAACTGCTGCAAATATTATTTTGAATTCTGGCTATGGTTTAGAAGAGCCGTTAACCGTTTGAAAAACGGTAAAACACCATTAACGAGGCACAAAAAATGTAAAACAAAATAGACAAGAACAAATTATATATGTGTTTCAAAGTGAAATAGGTGTGACAGAAATAGATATTTTTACTAACTATCACTAAACATTTGTTTCTTTTTTCTGTTTTGGTTTTTCCAAAATAAAATATTACTACAAAAGGTGACTGATCAATAAATCAAAGCTAAGAATATGATTGGTTGGTTGTTATTATTGTGAAGCAGTTGACCGGCTTAAAACTTAAAGTTGGAAAAACAGAGGGAAAACTCATCAGTTGTTGCTTCTGTAAACATTTGAAAACAACAACAACAACAACAAACTCATACATAAGTCCAGCACAAATTCGACTGATAAATAACAGGTCATTACCAGTTGACATTGGCTATAAGAATTCGTTATTCCATGGCTGCAGTGGAAACTCAAGCAAGCAGGCTAAGTCACGCCAAACTAGCAGAAAGAGAGAAAGGGGATCTTTAGAAAACTTAAAACATCAACTTTCTTCACTATTTTAACAAGTTTAGGGTTAATTAGTAACCAATTATTGACGTTCACGATCCAGGCCTGAAATATTTTCATTGCCTAGGATATTGTGGTATTCTCGGGTTAAACTAGTTTCCACGAAAAGTATTTGGTAGGTCTGCTTTATACCAGGGGGATCGACAGAATATATCACAACGTAACACTGAATTTAATTAAACTGACTGAGTTTAAAGTAAGAAAGCAACAAACCGAACGCAACATGGAATATAAAATGACAACATTTTTTATTTAGCCATAAAAACAAACAAACAAAAAACACAGCTCGCGTGCTTTTCGCCTGTCATTAGATTCCGGAATTAATCAACAGAATTTCTTCTTTCATGATGTATTCCCCTCAACCAATTTACTGCAGAACCCACATTTTTTACTCAGCGGGAAATGTCGATTTAACCATAGCAACTAGTGTTACCCATACGAGTAATCATTCTTATTCAACCTAGAGGAAACCATAACCTTGAAATATTATCTGACCTTTTAGTAAAGGACACCCTGTTGTCAGTATTCGTGCACAACCCGCAGCATCAATGAGTAATCATTATTATTCAACCTAGAGGAGACCATAACCTTGAAATATTATCTGACCTTTTAGTAAAGGACACCGCTGTTGTCAGTATTCGTGTGCACAACCCGCAGCATCAAAACAAAACGTTACCAGAGGCAGAACAGGTACGATCTCCAGAAGATAAAAAAGACAGCTAGAGTAAAGCCAACCAACGGGTTTCTAGACCACGTGGAATGCAAAAACTGCAAAGACTTATAATAAAATAAAAATATGGAAACATTTTTGCGTTAATAGAAGAAAGTCGAAAATGCATAGTATGCCCATATACCACAATATATCAACCATTGCTACCTTAGTATCCATTTATCAAGTTAAGTTAAATGAAAGTTACAGTAAACAAAACACACTTTCTAATTTGTGAACTCCAAGAACTAGTTCGATTTCACGTACTATCTAATTTACTTAAACCCTGAACTTATTATTCTCGTAAGAAAGGCAAAAACATTCAAATTTACGGATTAAACTCCACTTCTTATCTATAGAAATTTGAATTTAATAACGTACTTGAGTCCCCCACTGCACCTGAAACTACAAGAAAACCTAATTCTAAATATTTTACATTTCAGCGAAAAGTATGGAAAACTTATAGTATGTTCCTGTACCCCAAAATTCAAAACAATTAAGGATCATCAAATTATTAGCAGATATTTTGTGGATGGTTTACTTAGGACTCGTTAACTTCTACTAATAGTGATATATGTCATATTTTGTAAACTATAACTCACTAGACTGTGGATGAAACTGTTCTGCAATGAGCCTTTGATTGTGTTGTACAGGATTGTACCTTGTGTTACCTCCCATCTCTAGTTAATCATTCTCAGTTTAGACACAGTGTGGTGCTCAATTATGCTACTTAATTTTCCCCTTCTGTAATTTGCATGGCAAGTGTATTCACTAATTGGGTATTATCCCCATTCTCTTACAGGAAAGATAACTTGTAATGTTGTGGAGACAGTTGTTTTTCTTAGTTATTTATGTGTGTCATGAGTAAATGCAAGGGATGGATCTAGAAAGTGGCGCCATGCACAGGCCTGGCTTTGTCATGTTATATAAAACCAGGATTTCCTCAATTAAAAATATTTGTAAGAGATTTTGCAAAAAAGTGAAATTTTGGCAGATTTCTTATAGCTTTTTAATTCCATTTCGAGAGCTTTTAGAGCTTTTGAAAAAATTGGCAAATTGTAACTTTAACTTTTTCCCTCTAATATTTAATTTTAATAAACTTGTTTTAACTTAACTTTGGATTTTATTTCATCTTTCGTTTTAGAAGTAAAATGATTTTAGCATATTTTGGTTTATAGTAAACCTTAACTTTCGAGAAAATTAGTATTTGCTTAAAATAATAGCTTTAGAATTTGATATGCTTTACCCTTCTCATTTTAATCTAACTTTTCTGTATATTTTTTCTTGGTTTATGTAAGATTCACTGTAACATAAAAGAGGGAGCATATTGAACAGATAAAAAGAGACTAATAAAGGTTTTTCAGATATTTCTTATTAGTTCAACACATCCACTGAGCACAGTATTTTGCTGTGTTTTATTTTGTGTTAGATTTCTTTTTGTTGTTGTTTCAAATAAAGATTTTGGATGTTTGCATATGTGTACTTATCTTCTTTTTTTTGTATGATGAACTCGGTCAGAGTTCATGGAAAAACACATTCCGTGACTTGGCGTCCTTGGGCCTCTACCTAGTTGGTCCTGTATAATTAGTCTGCAGTAAAACTGCGAGTTGTAAAATACAAAAACGTGTTTTTGCATTTACATGAGAATACGTCTTAACATCGAATATGCCCACCCCGAGAAGCTAGCCAATACATTTGTACGTTACATAACACACTCTATTATTCTTTGAATGATATTCCGAGGAAAATGTTTTCCATTCACTCACCAGGGCTGATCTAAGTTATACTATTTATGCCAATAAGGTATTAAGTTTTGTTTTGTTTGTTATTAAGCACAAAGCTACACAATGGGCTATCTATGCTGTGCCAATAGTGAGTATCAAAACCGATTTTTAGCACTGTAAGCAGTCACACTTATTGCATAGCCACCAGGAAACAATATATTAAGATGTAAAAGAATATAACTACTTGCATTATTTAATAATCTGATCGATATAAACTTGATTTGTAAGAATTTGTAATCATGTATAGTAAATTTAGCTTCCATTGAAAATTCTACGATTCCAACTCACAAGATGTCTAAAAATCAAACTCTAACATATGTATTAAAATACCATACTTTTTCATTAAAAGGATCCTCACATATCTTTTACTTTCTCTTTTTTCTTCTCTAGATTCAAATTTGTATTTTTGTCCTCTTTGGGGCGCTGATGATTGCTTCAGCCGGTGATATTAATGCACCAATATGTTTGTGCGATGAACCAGAAGATGTTGCGATTATTGGAAGAAAAAAAAATACCATTACGCCGGATCTTCAAGAGTACGTATTTCTTACAAAGATTTTACTCTTTCTCTCTACAAATGTTCAGGCTACGTACACTTATACTATAATGTTTTTTAAAGCAGTCTCTGCTAGTGTACCAGCTGGATTTGTTTAGATTTTATTATCAACAGAACTAATGGAAAACTCCACAAAGAATGAATTGGCATAAATTAAAAATTAACTACAAAATAAACGCTTAAGCTATTTCGAAGATATTTTCTCCAACTGCTATTATAATAATGGCATAGAAGTAGTATAAAGTTACACGACGCCCGTATTATTTTTAAATATTTTTTAACTTCATAATTCACTCAGTTGATCATTGTCCATAAATAAAAGCTGATGTTTATGGCTAATGTACAGGCAGATTTATGAAAATGTAATCAAACATTAATACACAAAATATATATTCGTGTAAACCAAATCCGCTAACCAGACACTTGTATCCAACTATAGTCACTAAAAATTTTAAACTTCGAGCTATTGATTATAAATTTTCATTTTAAAACTAACACCTTAATGTTAAACTGAGCTGAATGAAATAGTTATTAATCTATAATTAAATTTTTTGTCGTAAGATCTCACTTTCGTTCGTGAACCTTAAATCAGCAAGTTTGTGAATAAATCATGTTAATGCTTTTTTGAGAATTTCATTATAGTGTTTTTATCTTATAAAAATATGTAAACTTCTATTATTCGGAGCAGACTTTGAAACTCGGAAGAAAAAGTTAATGATTTTTTATGCGTATTGAAACTATTTTATGTTACGTGTTATACATTTGTTAGTATACATAACTACTATAATCTCATTAAACATCATCGTGATGATGTAATGACTTTTACAGTCAAAATTATACGTTGTTACTTTAGAAATAAATGTATTAGTCTTAAATAAAAGAGAAAGTGTCGCACAACTACTGGGTCAAAACTTGTAATAAATCTGGCATGGCCTGGTGATTAGGGCTCTCGATTCGAGAGTTAGAGTCCCATCACCAAACATACGACCACTTTTAGCCGTGGGAACATTATAATATGACGGTCATTCCTACTATTTTATCAGAGTAGCCAAAGAATTATCTGTGGATGGCGATGACTAGCTACCTTTACTTTAGTATATCACTTCTAAATTAGGGATGGTTAGTACAGATAGCCCTCGAATATTTTTGCGCGAAATTTAACAAACAAGTTGTAGTGTAAGCTAATAAAATATGTTTGTATTTTGCAGCAAAATTACAAATGAACTTGAACAAGCACTTGCGCTGAACGGCACCGAACCGGATAAAGATGCTATAGGCGGAAGAAGCAAAGCACGCCTGTGGTATATACTTAAACTTTCTAAGCAATGTGGTACACATAGCTGCAAATTCGGGTATGTTTTTGACATTAGTAATGCATTTGTATACTTAATATTAAGTCTTTTGTACATTAAGTGATTTACATTAATTAAATTCTACTTGTAATTGTTATTGAATATGTGAAACTACCAAGAACTACAGTTCTAACTGAAATTCTTGAAAATCTTATGATCATATAACTTATATTCATCAGATGCATGAGTTCGAAACAACTTATTTTCATGTTCTCACTGCAGATATTAAACATCCAGTACGTTAGTTAGTTAATTAATACACAGACAGGGTAATAATGCTAACTCCACAAATAGGAAAGAACACTAAATATCTAACAAAAAACTACGAAAACTATTAGCGGGAACAAAATGGAAAACATCTTAAACCAATATTCATGTAAAAATATTCACATCCTACATATAAAAATAAATACCATTGAACAACTAGAAATAATTATAACCAAACCATACTGAAAAATGTTTTCTAGCCAGTACAGAGGAGAGGAATTTGTTAACCGAGATTCCAACTCATAAGGTGTCTAAGAATCAAACTATAACATGTGATGGGTTTTTTAAAACTAATATTTCAACTCAAAAGGTGTCTAAGAATCAAACTATAACATGTGATGGGTTTTTTAAAACTAAGATTTCAACTCAAAAGGTGTCTAAGAATCAAACTATAACATGTGATGGGTTTTTTAAAACTAATATTCCAACTCATAAGGTGTCTAAGAATCAAACTATAACATGTGATGGGTTTTTAAACTAAGATTTCAACTCACAAGATGTCTAAAAATCAAACTCTAACATATGATAGGATTTTTTACGATTCCAACTCACAAGATGTCTAAAAATCAAACTCTAACATATGATAGGATTTTTTAAACTACGATTCCAACTCACAAGATGTCTAAAAATCAAACTCTAACATATGATAGGATTTTTTAAGTTTTTACCGGTCTAAAATGTGTTATTCTATGTAGAGAATATATATCACCGCGTATACAGTCAACCGAATCTATATATTTAAATTACTGTCACAATAGATTTTAATGAAGAAGTATGGTATTTTAATATTTTACCGGTCTAAAATGTGTTATTCTATGTAGAGAATATATATCACCGCATCTATATATATATATATATATCACCGCGTATACAGTCAACCGAATCTATATATATATATATCACCGCGTGTACAGTCAACCGAATCTATATATATATCACCGCGTGTACAGTCAACCG